TATTACCTTTTGGGTTGATCTTCACAAACTGGTGGTATACCAACAAGAAGACACGATCCTTCTTCTGCGTCAAATATCGCGGAGGCCACAAGAGGCCACTCGGAAGCGCGTCTATTTCTTGAAGAATTTACATATGCTTTGAGGACAAATTGAGCCAACATAATTAAAGGATGATAATGTGCAAATAAATAATTATCTATATTCCCATCCGGTACATTAACGTATAAAAAGGAACCAAAATTCTTTACTTGTTTAGCTTCTAATATACTCTGTGCAGTTTTAAAGATATTATGCAGCATAAGTTTTGCTCTTTCAATACCACTTTCTAAAACATCCTTTTTTGTACGTGTTAAACAGTCCAGCGCGTCTAAGAAACAACGTTGCGGTTGTCTGTCTTTTGTCTGTAAAAGTATAATCATGTATATAGTTAAAAAGGTATTATAACATACCATACTTAATGACTGCTGATTTACCGTCGAATCCAGTAAAGCCAACATAGCATATACCATATCTGATGCACAATATTTAAAACGATAACCATATTGGAGAGTAAAACTAGTACCAATGATGCTATTGACATTATATTTGCCAGCTAATTTTTCAACCATCTGCTTAAATTCTTGTCTAAAAGTAAGATCCATTGCACGAAATAACTGTCTGGATTGCACCAGAGGTAATCCCATTTCAGCTAAAACTTCCTTCAAACGTTGTTCCCCTCTAATAGACCATAAACGTAACGACACCGCAGTTGGCATTGAATACTTCAAGCTGGCTTCAACAGTCCAGTGACGATACAATGCTAATTGCAGACTATTTGTTATCATTAAGAAATTAATATAATATACTTCAAATTTAAGTAAAAAATAATATTTATATGAAAGGATACTCTTTGTCGTAAGTAACTTTAACAATACTCTGCTGCTGCTTGTCAATATCAACACCTTGTCTATGTGTTAATCTTGAAATATGTGCCTGAAGAGAACCTTCCTCAAGAACGATTATTCGTGACTCCACCTTACCAAGGATAGATTGTTCTGTGGAACCAACTATGGCCCACCATGCCATATCTAAATTATCCTTCGACATATTCCAAGCCATTTCAAACACCACTATTGCGCTCTTTAATAAAACAAAATATGTAAGTTTTCAAAATAGAATTTCCTTATTGTTATCGAAAACATAAATTATAATGCATACTGATCTGCCATAGTAACTGTATTGTGAATAATTAAAAAGAATAGTTTCTCTATTTTCAACCCATTGTCTTCGTTCACTTCGTTTTAATATATCTTCTTCATTCAACCTTCGCCTTTTACTTTGCCTGCCTTCAGTTTCATCATCTGATTTATCAATCTCTTCCTCTTCATCTGACTGTATATGATTAAACAGAATTATAGAAAATAGAGAAAGAGAATAGGACAAAATAAAACAATTTGTTACATACACTATCATCTCGATATATATCATTATATTCTGGAATCTCATTGTCTTCATCAGGTTTACCAAGAATACATATTTGACTTTCTGAATATATATTAGTTAAATCATAAGGTCTATGACTATCGAGAATAAAGAATATAACAGATTCGTCTGGTCGAAGTAATTCCACTAAATCTAGAGTACCACCACAGTTTATCATAACAACATTCTTTATCTAAAATTTTTCTCAAATAGATTATTATTGTCAATGATAATGAATACAGATGATCCTTTGTGTTACTACCTCTTCACAATTTTCATCAAAGGCATTTATCATATCCTGAATACCTCGGACAGGTACAAGAGTATATATCATATGATCATTTTTGAAAAGTTGTTGCAGTATTCTACAGGCACAGATCGCATCAACATCAAAGTTCACTAGAAGTAAACACCTCTGCAAAAAAAAAAAAAAAAAATATTAAAGATTTTTATATAATACAGAATTATTTGAATAATACTTGAATAATCTTATATTGTCCAATCTTCAAAAACATGAATATTAATTTAACAGAGAATTATCTATTGTAAAGCATATAATAGTAAGCTATTTACATTGTTTATTATAATTGAAAAGCAAAAAATTAAACATGAAATAATTCTTTAATTATTAAACAAAAATATAACTATTATATAAGAGTATATAAATACAAATATTTAACAAAAAATTATTTGTTATATAAAAAAACAGTATTATATTCATTATTCATTATTAATAAAAAAAATAAAAGAATCATATATGGTTTTTTTAACAGGGTTGGCTAATGCTAAGTTAAACGTTAAGTTAACAAGTTAATTAATTTTAACTTAACTTATTTATATTTTCTATTTTTAATTTTTTAACTTAATTTTATTATATAATATTTTATTGGTAACTATTAACTTTTAATTTGACTTTTTTGAAGTTAGCCCTCAGACACAATGTGAGGGGATGACTACATAATTCAGTAATTTTGTTTTTTATATTGTAGTTGAGCCCCTTAGTCGCCAAGTGACAAAAGGCTTATGTTTATAAGGCAAACTTATGCCACTTGTCAACTAAGGGGCTCAATTGTTAATTGTAAACAAAAGTAACCAACAATATGAATATGCTATAAGAAAGGAAAAATACAAAATATTATAAAACAGTTAAATTTTTCTTTTTTCGAAGGGGGTTGTTTGTTTGGATCAAATTTAATTTTTAACTTTTAATTATATTTTTTATTAACTTCTAATTCAATTAATTTCATTATGGATTAACTTATATCTTAACTAAGTTAAATTTTCAAGGCTGTTAACTTTAACTCAACTTAGTTAAAAAAAAATGTTAACTTACCCAACCCTGTTTTTTTACTTATCTAAAAGAAAACTAGAACTATATCTAGCTATAGAGAATATAAATTTAACAAAGAATTATTTATTGTAAAGCATACAACAAATATATATGTATATATATATATATATATAGTTTGTGTTTATATTATTGCGTATATATATTATATTGTTATTAAGAGGTTTCTATCATTAATAACAAAGAGAAAGAAATCAGACATATATAAAATTTTGTATAGAAAAAGATAATTTATTGCAAAGTGTATAACAAACATAATTTACGTTAGATTTAATTATTATTAATAGAAAATAAGAGTCAGACATGTATGATACGATTTTCTGCTCATCTAAAAGAAAGAAAGAATAATGTATACAATAATGAATTAAAGTATACATTTAATTTAAAGACTTATTTGTTGAAAAGCCTGTAAGAGAGAGATAATACACGCTATGTTCATTATTAATAAACTTTATTGATAATACACGTTTATTGTTAATACAAAAAAAAAGCAAAGAAATGATCAGACTTTCACGCGACCCATGTCTAATCATTCAAAGAAAAGAAGAAATTATATGTAACTGCATAATTTATATAGAAAGAAAGAATGAGAAAGCCTGGCGAGTGATCGGAACAGTTCCAGAAGAGCCGAAATGGCATCCGAGAGAGCTCGAGAAAAGAGACACCAGGTTGCAAGCAGGTTGCAGAGTAACCTATAGATACGCAATAGACACACAATATACCGCCGTGAGGCAGAACGCAACGTCGACTCACGTTTCTTTGTATGACATCGTAGAAATCTTTCTCCAGGTTCGTCACGAACATGTTGCGACCGTCTACGACAGACGAAACATCGCAGATTTTACGACGGTCTCGCGCGCGGATCTTAAAACGGGTGATTTAGCGCGAAAAATCCAAACGGTCGGATCACACGGCGTCCCGTTGCGCGCGACGATCGCGCGACTGCTGTCTACAGTCACAGTATATCTGTGCTATAGTGTCGGCACCGGTGAGAGGAGGTTACTTCCGATAGCGCCATGACCCCAGGATTCGATCCGGTAGGGAAAACAGCTGTTACTCGAGTGTGACAGTCACATGCGATAGATAAATCTACGTTTTCTCGATAACAATTACAAACATGGTGGAATTAATACTACCATTTATAGTTAATTTCATCATGAATTTGTAAACTGTTGTAAACAGTGCTTTGCTTATATCGATACTCGAGTCTCTTAATTCGATGAATCGAGTAACTTCGGATCTATCGCTGGATTCACACTGCGTCCGATTTCCGTTGTACGACGACTCTGCAACCAATCGGGGCCGGGATTCCCTAGCCAATGAGAGCCGTGCTTTCTTTTAGGATTGTCCTGCCATTGGCTGTCGCTAGTTAACGATAGTGACAATCATCGATAAAACGTTTAGAGAATCCCGGCCCAGTTCAAGCAGTAGATAGATTTGAAGCACACATTTTGCGAATCTACCGGATATTACCCCAAGAGTTTACAGGTGCGATCCACTTCACGCTGCAAATGCTTTGAAGCATTCTTTGATTGGTCAATTTGTAAAATTCTTTCTTCTGATTGGTCAACGAAGCATTTGCAGCGTTAAGTGGATCGCACCCTAAAGAACATGCTTGTGCGATTGAATATTCGTTAACAGGACGTCTACATTCGGGGATTAACGATGTGAAAAATATGATATCGATAATACTAGCTTTAAAAGAGAGACACGCAACGCAATTTTAAATTACTTCGTCATTAACAACTTCTGCGATAAACTTTAAGTAACAATAGCAGACGGACTAAAATAACAAGGAATAAATTGAAGAAAAACACGTGATAGTGTTTGCCAAAAAATCATTTTAATAAAATCACATTAACAAAAAATATCATTTTTGCAAAATTCTTAAATTACAATAGTTGTATAAATAAATATTACTTCTCTTGGATATTCTAACGGATTATTATCGCCTCACTGTGACTTTAATTAACACGTCCTGTTTACTGTTTTCTGTATAAATCGCAAGTACAGCTTGCATATTCCGATCTAGTTTCTGTGAACACTGTATCTTTAAAGGAAATTTCTTTTTACTAGATAACATTCCTTTTGCAGGAACAACACTGAAATAATCTGAATTTGATAGACTGGTCTCAAATGGTTCTGCTTCTTTGAAAAAGCTATGAATAGTCACGATTGCTTCATTTTTTACTGGATGAGTTAGGGTGATGGTATACGGTGTTACGGTGAATTGATCTTGCAATTCAGGATGTTGACTTTATATTCTGTAGTTCTGTAATAAAATATTAACAAGATATTTTAACAAGAAATCTTTAAATTGACACAGTCATAAAAAATCTGATATAAAGCATAATGAGAAATATGCATATCAGAAAACTCACTTGCTCCACCTGCTTCATCAGTATCATAATGAACGGGCAAAATTTCATCCGCACATGCCTCCACTGTGAGCATTATCTCATATTGATGAACGCCAGTGCATAGATCATTTAGGTTTTGCTATTTAAATACACGCTGTCACTATTATATAAACAGTAATGAGGCTAAATAATATAATTTATTTGTATAACTTACAATAGAATCGTGAATTGACGTTATGTCAGGAATTAATTGCTCCCCAGGAAAAATTGTACATATGGAATGCACAATATACTTGAATGCTTCATTTTCACTTTCAATCGATTCGCCTGACTCTTTTAATTTATTATACAATCTGACAAAAAGAGTACGTTTATCAGTTTGACAAATATGCCAATAAATGTCTATTTGAATATATAATGTATGGTTTACCTGCGTATTCGCCAGCGGGTTGGTTCATCGCCACAAGTAACTTTTATTGTTGCCACATGCGTCACTTCCGAACGTTGCAGTAACGCAAAGTCTTCTCTGTTTGGATGAAATTGTATTATTATTTCTTGTGATTCATTTGAATTAAGTATTATTTCCTTTGGATTTATATGCCAAATGGAATGCATTTTTGAAGAAAAAACTAAAATATATGAATTTATTTTTATTTCGTTATATATATATATATATACAGGATATATGTAACTCATATTGATATAACACACATATAAAGAGAATAGGAAGATTAGTCAAACCTTTCGGTATGATCGTGATTTTGGCGAATGAATGTAAGTCGCCAATATTATCTAGTCTAATACCAGCGCTCAATGTCATAGTTTCAGAATATAAATTGCCAAGTGGCAACCACAATTTTTTACTCAAATCTTTAAATGGTCCCGAAATTTTTACTTTACTGCAACCTCCATATCCATACAAATAAGATATCTGTCAATTGAAATTATAAATATTCTCTTCCTCTTGTTAAAAAGTAGTAAGTTATCATTATAATTATACCTACTTTTTTAAACTGTCGAGAATTACTACTCCCTCTTGTATAATGCATGATAATAATTTTTGCAACTACTGAACCTATGCAATATGGGCTGAATATAATTGCAAGTGTCTTAATTTCTTTACGTTGCATTACTAGTACCATAATCTGTTTATCTCCGAGAAACTGTAACAGATATTGATGTATATTGTTTGACTTTTTCTTCACATAGAGAAATAACAAAATATATATATGTATATACAATACCTTAAAACTCTTACTGTCATCATATATGTAAATTATAATTTTAATCTTGTTATTGCTCGTATTGCGAATCGTAAATTCTTTAGTTTCACTTTTTCCTGTTTTTACACTATTCCATACTAGGGCAGAGTGTGTAGCTTTGATTGGAATTACATGTCTTGCTACAGCCAAACCAGATACTGTACCGATTGGTGAATTTCTATCGCAAGGTCCAGATCTATACATAAAAAGATTATTACTTATAATAATAATATTAATAATACTGCATGTGCACATGCGTGCGCAAACTCATAAAAACATTACAAAACCTACCTATTAGATGTTACACTTTGTGGCGGTGTTGATGGGCTTAGAAATATTGCATTATTAGACGTATAATGTAAAGAATTTTCCTGTTCTAATTTTAATAATTTTTTAGTACTTATAATGTAGTGGTAAACTTTGTTTCCAGCAACTAACTTAATCTTTGCATATCTAAAAAAATAACAATAAATAATTAAATAGTATGATATGGTTAAAGTATAAATTTATAATTTAGAAATTAATCATTACTTTTCATTATCTACAAAGTTTGCATCTGAAAATTGTGGTTTATATACAATTAAGAATGAACTCCTTTCTCCAACTTGCAAAAATATATTATCTGGCTTTATAAAAAAATCTTGCGTTGCATTTGTATGTCCTTCAAATGGTACGATAGTAGCGAACACATGAATTGCCATATTCCCCGAGTTAATAATATTTATCGATTTTCCTTGCTGTTTTGAAACAATTATCGGTACTTCTGTGTCGACGATTTGGATTTTACAAAAACCTATTTGTACGTAAAGAGGCACTTCTTTTTTAAGTAATATAGTGTCATCCTTCGATTGTACATATGCAATTAGTTTGCTCTGCCAATGTTGTGGCTGTTTCTGCAGAGAATCTATTTAACAAAACTTTCTTACATATCCAATAAACCAATGTCTGTATACAAAATTATACAACCAGTATAAAAAAATACTTACCTACTGATGTAGATCGTGATATGTCACATTTTATGTTAGTAATACATTTTTTAAGTGGTCCAAGTAGAAAATGCATTGGTCCATCAATACTAAACATTTTTGTGCCTTCCTACGAATTAAAAATATATAATCAGTTTTTAATACATTAATCCAATTACATTTTATTAAATTCGTATCTCACCTTTAATATTGACAGTTTTATGGATACAGCAACATTGTTTTTATTAAGAAATGTTATAGGCAGAACTTTGGTTGTTTCGTCTCCGATGTACTGAAAATCCAAGTTTTGTTTGTCAGAAGGACATACAATATCAAGCTCAAGTTGCTCTGGATTAACAAAGATTATGTGTTTCATAGACCATTTTGATTTTGTTATCATATCTGATAAAAATATATTTAGTACTACAGATATCGGTTTACACATTTTTATTACTTTTACTTTAATCTAAAAGAAAAAACAGTCCGGTTATTATTGTTATAAGTAAAATTCATTTTTAGTTGATAGTGAATTATATACCTTTGTGGATCGAGTACTCTTAGAACTTATTAAAATTTCCTTCGAAGGAATATTTAATTCAATATTTTGTATATCTCCTACTACTTCAACTAACTTAAAGATATACGTGATCCATTCATATCCATTATTTATGAGTTCGACATTTACTTCATTCGTCGTACCAACAACACAATTGCATGCTTCTTCAGTATTCTTGCCAAAAACGACGTTCTCTGGAAAAAAAAAAATTGTCATATCTAAGCACATATATCATATTTTGAGTTAGTAAATAAATGAACTATATAGATATACTATTTGAATCAGTCTGCACATCCATATTGTTCTGAATATCGTATGCTCTTTCTCTGTCGATGTTGCTGTTACAATATAATTTTTAGTGTTACATGAGGAAATTTAATATTACTTATGTCTATTAGCATGTGCACTTACCTGTGTGTTACTCGTATGAGTGTTGAATGCCTACTGCAGACCTCTGAGGCTCTGACCATAAACATAGAAATAGAATTTATGCTCTGTCCCTTTATTCCTATGTCCATGCCTCTGACCTTGTATATGCTTATCGTTTGCGGTGTTTTTGTTTTCCTTCTGTCTCACGTGCGCGTAGACACACACTATCTTATTTCGTAACTATTTAGCATCCACGTCGCCGCGCGTCGCGTTTTGTTGAAACGCTGATCACTTTTGGTCAGAGCAAGATAGAGAGAGTGAAATAATTTACAGAGTGTGAAAAAGAAATGTAGCTCACTGTGTTATATACTTTCTCGCAATACTTGGATAGACGAAACATATTCACAGAGTAATAATAACTTACAAATAGTTATAGATAATTGAGGGGCTGGATTCAATAAGGGGATACGCGTGGATTTCGCGGAATAAGTATTGTCCGCAGGGCTAAAATTTTGGACGATGCTCTAATTTCAATTTTGACGATTGATTCTTGTAGAAAATTTCATAGCGCATCTTTTTTGTTTTTAAATCAAATTTGTGTAAGCTGGGCCGAGAAAAAATGTCGGACGCTCGGACGCGATGTCGGGACTCGAAACCGAGGACCTCGTATGTAGTTCGAAACACAAAGCCACCGCCTTGCCGCGGAGCCACACAGCCCGACACGTAGATCTTAATTGATATCTTACATTTGTAATTTTTTTGGTTTTCAAGTTATAAACAAAAAACGCAATTTTTTTAATGAAAAAATTTCAATAGATTTTTGTGTTCAACTCGCCATATCTCAGCCAAAATATGAATATTTTTCTTTGAAATTTTAACAGAATAAACTTCGATGTGTTTCTCGAAATATAAAGCATATATAATAAGTTTCCGAAACATTTCACAGCCAAATATGCCGATCAATTTTTCAAAATATTTCTCTCGAATTCGTAGTTTTATTCATTCGATTACAGAAGTTATCGTACAAATTTTCAATTCGTCAACTTTTACCGGTACTACAATTTTGTTTATTAGTTAAGGAAGTTTTTTGAAAAGTTTTTTAGCTCTTAAAATATTATGGTTGTAAAGATAATAACGATTTATATGTCGATCCGATTACGTACGCGCTGCGCGCAACGCGAAATTTCGATCCGTTCGCTTCGGCGAAACAAGGGTATCAATAATGTATCAAAACATAATATATTTAAGGGCTCCCGAAATCTTTTTCAACTTCTTAATTCTTTACAGTTGACAAAATAAGAATTATGCCAGCTGGAGGCTGCACACCAGCGCAATGTCGTTGCGCGCGACACGCGATATCCAGATAGCTTTAGAATGAGGACATCGGTAAAGCTGTACGCTTATTGGATATCGCGCGTCGCGCGCGACGAACATAGCGCTGGTGTGCAGTTGGCATTAGAGTATTAATATCAATAAAAATTGTCAATAAAAATTGATCACAATAGCGTAACTTAATACTCTAATTCTTATTAGAGTCTAATTATAGATCTAGTCTAATTATAGATCTAATCTTCTTATAGATCTATTCTTCTTCTCCGTATAAGCAGCATACGGTTTGTAACTTACGTGACGCATATCCATGACAACTGCTTGTACAGTAAACAGTGCGTGCCGCATGGTCAACTTATGCCAGCTGCACACAAGCGTGATGTTCGTCTCGCGCGACGCGCGATATCCAATAAGCGTTTAGCTTTAGAATGAGAACATCGGTAAAGCTGCACTGTGCGGCATTAGGCGTACTCAGGCTCGTATTTTCAGCACTCAATTGTAACCTTTTGAGACAATTTACCACTTATATATATTAATTATTTTACATAATTGTTAGTTACTTAACTGTTTTTAGGTGTAAACATGAATCAAAAGAGGAAGTGCGTAACAATAAGCAACAAGCAACAGATAATTGAGGAGATTGCTTCCGGATTAAGAGTTAAAGATGTGGCAAGAAAATACGGTATCACGTCAAGTTCTGTATCAAAAATAATGAAACAAAAAGATCATATCGCTTCCTTTAGCAAATCCATGCATCATGCACAGTTAAAAAAAGTAAGTAAGATGAGATGCCCAACGAATGTGGATGCAGTCCTTTACACATGGTTTTGTCAACAAAGGTCATGGGGACAAACAATTAGCGGACCGTTATTATGTGAAAAAGCTCAGGAAATTAATAAAATATTAAATGGACCTGCATCCTTCATGGTAATTATTTTTTAGCATTTTATTCTTAATACATATACATTTGGACGTTGTGCTCTGCAAGTTCTCATTTGTTATTTTCTGAAAAATCAATAAAATACTCATTCGATGTGTTTTTCTATAAAACGAAAAAATCTGGCAGAAAAAAAAGCTCTGTCCCGCGAACCGAGATATTAATCACTAAAGTTCATGACTATTCAGGTTTGGATATCTGTCATACCAATTCGATATATGCTGTGATCATGCGTGTATACAAGTTTTGTTGACAGATAAAATATTTCTGCTATAGAATAAGATATTATAATGTCGTATACAATAGAGCAATTGAATGCGAATCTCCTTGGTTTACTGTCCAAGATGTAGTTGGAAATGCAAACTTGTGGCCAAAGTTCATTCGAAAATTATTTTGGAATCGCAATTTAACTGATCACAAGCGAATGCTTATTGTGAATTTCATGTATTTAAATGTAGTATCTGAGGATTTCTTGCATGATATATTATCTTTCACATTGAAAGAAGTATACACATAAGATCAAAGATGCAAGATTTACTACAGATTTCAATATTTAAATCACAAGGTATTATTAATTTTAATTAATGAATCAAATATATCATAAAAGGTTAGTAAAATTTTTCTAAATTTATAGGAATTTGGATGATAAAGACGGAGTCGTGTCTACAATTATCATGTTTATTTCAAAGATATGTTGGATTTAAATTTTAAAGAAAAACAGATACTGTCTAAAAACACAAAGTCACTACTTTAAAAACACAAAAATGACTTTTTAACAGTGCTTTTCTGTTTTTAAAGCAGTGACTGTTTGTGTTTTGAAGCAGTACTTTTGTGTTTTTAAAACATTAAATTTGTGTAATTAAGGCAGAGAATATTTTTTAAAAATTAATTGATATTGGACATGTGATGACAATGCAGACGAGATGGAAATTTAATTATATTTATAAAAAATGTAAAAATATATAAATAATGTATAAATAAAAAAATATATATATAAACATAAATATATAATTAAAAAATTCTAAATATAATCTAAACTAAAATCTAATTCACAATATTCATAAATATATAACATGATACATACATACATACAATAGTAAGAAATACGAAAATATTAGAAACGTGTTAATGTTTACATAGAACTAGATTTCAATGCAATTTGAAGAAGACTTGTTGCTGACTTTGCGGTTATTTTCTTTTTTAGGTGCTTACTTATAAAAACGCATGCGCGATTTTCGTCGATTTCATCTTTACCAAAGATCTATATTTAATAATTTTGTTAGCTGCAAAATTTATTGTTTTTAGGCTAGTAATGGTTGGCTGCAAAAATTCAAACAGAGACATGGCATATGTCAATCCTCTATACAAGAAAAATTATCCTATAATACTGAAGAAATTAAACATTTTCCTGAAAAATTTCATTCATTTGTCAAAGACCATGGATATACTTTACAAAATATTTATAATGCCGATGAAACTGGATTATATTGGAGGACGTTACCTCAATTGATTCTAACTGCAGAACATGAATTATCGGCTGCTAACTTGAAAGTTAGTAAAGAACGACTAACAGCGATGATGTGTGCAAATGCCAATGGGACTCATAAATTACCACTACTCATTATTGGTAAATACAAAAATCCTAGATGTATGAAAAATGTATGTAAATTGCCAGTAATTTTTACCACTCAGAAAAATGCTTGGATGGACAGGACAATATTTTTTGATTGGTAAGTTAATTCTAGAATATAATTTACATAATAAATTACTTATAATTCTTCTATTAATACTTTTCTATTAAAATTTATATTGTCATGATTCTCTAGGTATACTAACGTTTTTATAAAATTGGTGCTTGAAAAACAAACTGAACAAGGCAGAAATGAAAAAGTTCTTTTGATATTAGACAATGCTCCATCTCATCCAAGCGAAGATCAATTGAATTCTGTTAATGAGAATTTTAAAGTTGTATTTCTGTCTCCCAACGTAACTGCCATTCTACAACCAATGGATCAAGGGATTATTGAACAAACTAAACGAAATTATAGAAAAAATGTGCTACGTCTTCTGCTGGAAGCAAATTTATTACAAACAGTTTTTTTAAAAAAGTTGACAATTCTTGATTGTTGTAACATGATAGCTGAAGCATGGAATAATGTTTTATTTAATGATTTGAGAAGAGCTTGGAAAAATTTACTATCTATAAATGACGCAGTAGATGTAACTTTGAACGATAATTCGAACGGTCGTGATGAATCCGAAAATTGTTTTAATGAAATTTCAAGCGTTTATACGCAAAACGAGATTCAGTCATGGATTAATATTGATAGTAGAGATCAAGGTTGGGAACCGCAAAATATGAATGATATTATTGATAATTTGCAAAATAATAATGAGCATGAGTCTGCAGAAGAAGAGGAATCACATGATGAGAATGATTCTAAGTCAGTTAAATTATCCAAAGATATTATTCAAGCTGTACATATTTTTAAAAATTGGTCACAACATCAACAGGAATGTACAATGTCAGATTTTATTTCTATTACAAAAGTATTGAATGTAGCTGAGAAGCTGTTAGGGCAGTAAAATTTTATGTGAAGATTTAATAAGTATGACAATTGTTTTAAATGAAAATTAATTTTTAAATATCAGGAGACGCGGTAGTGTTCAAATCTCTTATTCCAAGCCACTAAGTCCATTTTTCGGAGTGCATAATTACTAAAATATAAAAAATTTTGAATTGAACGTTATATATGTCTTGAAAGACGGCATTGCTACGAGTAATTTGAGCTAAAAAAATTTTTGAAATCGGTGAAGCCGTTCTGGATATATAACCGATCGAAAAGTGACGATTTTCATAAGAAATGAAGTAACATCTTCTTCTCTGTCTGCAGTCATATGCACCTCTCTTCTGTCTCACCTTTCACTCACATCTCGACCAACTTCGACCCACCGTACCTCCTCCCCCTCCTCTGCCTCCACCACCCTTCTCTTTCACCGTATTTCATTCTCGTTGTATTACTTTTTTTTTTAGAAAATTTATTACTTAATTATTACTTATATTTAAAATGAATTAAATAAAAGTAACGTTTAATAACTACGATTCATTTATTTTATGCTAAAACAAAGCGAAGACGTTTTAAACTATTCTAATTGCAAAAATATGATAATTTCTTATTTATTTTATCATGGCAATTATTTTTCTAAAGCATTAAAAAAATAGGAAGATTCCGATTGCCTTCAATATCTCCCCACTCACCTTTCAAAGTTCGATGCGCTCGCAACATTAGATAAAGATAAAGATGGCCATCCCATATTTTTTCTCTTTCTAGTGTCTATAAGCCGCAGCATACACTTTTGCACGACGCATAATGCGTAACGCATAAAAGAATCAACAAATTAAAAAATCGTATAATTTTATTAAACTTTATTTTATTCATTGGTTAGTTAAATCTGTTATTTAAAACATATAAAAAAAAAGACTAATCCTTTATTTAAAAATACATTTATGCTATTTGTTACAGTTAGAAACAAAATTTAACAATTTGTCGCATTTAACAAAATGCGACTGACACTTGTGTTTCTACATGTGAGCATGCGTGAAGATGGCGGATTTCAGTCTATGCGCAGAACATGACGAAAATGCGTCCGAGAATTGAGCACACCTTTATACTTCCATTCCACCATGGTCAAAGCGTTGGTTGATGTTACTAGCGATCGACGATCGAGTATTACACGTGAAGTATGTTAAGTAGATTGATTAAATTGCGAGTGACACGAGAAATGAAATTGATCAGAGATCTGTGGAGGAACTCTACTGTCGTGTATAAGAGCGGGGTGCAGTGTACATCTTTGAGACATAAGTACGCGTTCAAATACTCTTCATAACCTCAAAGTACATCATGTTAAAGATATTTTATTATATTGAGACCCAGTTCCACTAATGTAAGATTAAAATACTTTACCTTGGTTTAACTTACTATTAATCTTTTTTTAATTTTAAGAATTAAAAAGTGATACAGAATAAATTTAATTGAGATATTAAAATTTATTTTACATTGGTGGAATCAGACCTAAGGCTTCTTTTCTAATGCTTAGAAATAGAAAAAGGTAAATACAATAAGTTACAGTGAGATTAAAGTTAATCTTACATTGGTGGATAATAATCAAATTTGGTGCACTATGTGCGTTATACAGGGGAAAGTATAATTGAGATAATTGCGTAATTGTTAGTTTACTGATACTGATGATAATATCATTGTAGTGGTACTACAACATCAAATGTAGCTGAGGTAGCAGTGTTTTCGCGAGACGGCGACTCCGGAATGACAATCACAGACGCTGGTGACACGAAGCCGAAAGATGACATGATCTTCAATGCTTTAGGAGCAACTGACGAGTTATCGTCTTACATAGGGCTAGCAAGAGAGTTTGCTTGCGATGGAAAAGTTGAACATCCGTATGTCGACAAGCTCAAAAGAGTACAAATGATCTTATTTGACTTAAGTCATGCCATATCAAAGTCCATGCCTGGAAAAACTAGGTCCTTTGAAAATAAACATACCAAAGATTTGGAAGAATGGATTCTCGAATACGCGAATCAGCTCCCTCCTCCCGAAGATTACATCATTCCAGTAAGTATCCAGATATTACAATACTTTTTATATATACAGTGTGGTCTTTAAGTATTTTAAAAGATTTTAAGGAGTGATTCATCTTTTTGATTCAGAAAACTATATGTCCAAAATGATTTATTAGGAATTTAATTTGTGGATGCTAGATGTCATGCTTTCCCAAAAAACGTACTAGCTTCTGTTACTGGTAGCATCGCCATTTTGGATGTAAAAGATAAACAAAATTTTTTTTGTGAACTTTAGTATATGCACTAATCAGATAATTTGATTTTATATTAAATTATTTTTTTTTTTATAGATAAGAGCCTTACTATTTTTATTTTTTTATTAAAACATTTTTTTGAAGTGCTGTTTTTATACCCACTACTGTGGCCATCCTTAAGGATCACTCTGTATAGACACATATAGACATATTTCAAGTTAACTCTAATTCTATCTAATGTTTCAATATAGGGCGGTGGAAAAGCTTGCGCTTCTTTGCATGTTGCACGAACGGTATGCAGGCGTGCCGAGAGGAGTATTACGACACTAGTACGAGAGGGTGCTCTAGATAAAGAAGCACAAACATATTTAAATAGATTATCAGACTTTCTCCTAACAGTATCACGTATTGCGGCCAAATGTGATCAACGTACGGAAAATATTTATATTCCGCGAGCAGATGTGATGGAAGAGAAATGAAAGAACTGATTTACAAATTTTTGTAGGATATCAACTTTTTACACAGACACACACACACACACACACACACACATATGTACACGTACACAGTAGTTAAAATATAAATAAATATAGAATAACTAAGTATTCTAGTTTTATTCTATTATTTGTTATTAAATGTTCTATGTGCTTGATGTTTATCAAGTAGTGGACATGTACCTACATTTTTGGAATGGATATGTACATATCTACAATTGCAATAAACAATAAATTTAAACAGAATTAAATTAGTTAAATAAAAGCATAATTCTTAATCTTATTAAGAAATGTTTATTGCAGTTTTTAATAGGAATAGTGTAAGATATTGGTAAAGATACTATTGACATGTGCGTGTAGATAGATAATTTATTGAAATTCAACTTGTAAATACAAATGCAAATTACTTTATTAGCCATATTGTTGTAACAAAATTATCAACATATATATTTTAAAATATAAATTATAATTAATAAATATGAACCTCTCTAATGTATATAACAGTGTTTAGAAACAATAATGCCATTCATGATTTATGTTAAGAGTTCTTCTCCTTCGACTACCTCATTTAAGTTAACTAATTCCAGTAAAGCAGTTCCCTTTGTTTCTGACCGTATTAATTCATCTATTCCTCTATATTGACCTGGATCAATTAAGCAGATTATCGTTAACGATCCATTATCCCACTCTTCCGTTTCCATTTTAGTTGCAAATTTAACAACTTTATCCTTCAATTTTCTAGCTTCTTTTTCTGGAATAATAATTTTGAGCCTCATTTGAACACGTTCCAAAGGCATCACCTCTTTCAATTGCGAGATAACATCTAGTGCCTGTTGCTTGGCATTTCGATTAGGTTTGACAGAAAAGTGTATCTCGTCCCTCATGGCGTTTTCAATCATGGTAACTGGATATGGACGCTTGGTCTCTGGATTTATACACTTACTGGCAACTGTCGTGGCAATATCTTTGAACATGGATTCCAATGCCAGATGCCTTTCTTTATCAGAAACTTGAAGCTCACCTTTAGCAAGGATTTGTTTACAGATTTCAGTCTGATCTTCAGTTTCAAAAGCTTTTATGAGATCTTCCTTCTTTGCTACCTGACCTTTCGATACATTGGTGAATATTGTATGTGTTTGCAGTACTTCGTCAATATCTTTCTCTCTGAAATATATTTTCAAGAAAAATAATAAATGATTAAGCATTTAGTTACACATTGTACAGGAAACAAAAGGAATCTTCTGATAGCAGATTAGAAAATTTCTAGCTAACTGAAATTGGCAGTTGAGTTAATAAGTTTCTAAGATAAGATACATTTAAAAAATAAAAGACAAAATCTTGGATCTTAATCTTATAATTGTTGAGGAGATTTAATAGGTAGTGATATTATTTGGAAAACAGTGTACTTATGTGAATAAGAGTAACTGAGAAACTGTAAATTAGGTTAAACTGGCAGATTATTTTGGCAAAAGTGAACTTACAGTTTGTTTCTCCAAGATACTACTTTATTCTTGTAACATGCGATTTCGAATCTTTTGCCAGCTTTCTTCATACGAACAACGGCTACATTCGTCAGTCTTATTTGGTTCGTCGGTGTAAATATCTTTGACATTTTTGCAATGAGTTCGACTCAGGGTATAACTCAGATGAACTGAAGAGCTTTCGATAAACGATTGCTGCGAAATACGCGATCGACAACAGTCCTTTCTTAAATTATATTTACACTTTGCTTGAAGAGATATTTTGCATTGTTTTGTAAATGCTACGACCACACAATACACACGTAACTGTATGCACGCAATATGGTGCAATACCAACTGAATCACTTGAGTATGTAAAAAAAATAATAACTAATAAATTAATGTGGCATCGAATATTTAGTCGATTTAAAATATTTACATTGCTTTTTAGCATCTAAATAACTTTATATTTAACATCATCAACATGTAACGCTCGAATTCGATTTTATAAAGTGTGTTTACTTTATGTCAAGTGCAGAAGGTGTAGCTAAAAACGATCCAGTCAGCACTTGATTTTCTTCTCTCTCTTTTCTCGCTCCCTTCCCACTCTCCAATAATTTCTTTTAACATTTAGGCTACTGGACTCTGATATATAATATTTTGATTTTAATTCCTTTTATGCCCGTTTCCACCAATATACTGCAGATTAACTTATATTTAATCTCGAGATTAAACTTTGTTTATTTTCAGGATTAAAAAGGAGGTAACTTTTTTTTTATATCTGATGAACAGACATTTATTATTGTATATTTCATATCTCACAACGTCGTCATACATATATTTGATATTTGTATAAATACTTGTACATACAGATATAGGGTGCAGCTGAGCTGTCAGTGAACGATATATTGTCGTTCTGAACGTTCACATTTAATCACTTGAATACATATAGAACATCTTAGCTTTTTTTCTTATTAATGATAGAACAAACATTTTCTTATTAAAAATACATAGGACGCGAACATCCATATCTCTCTCTTTTTTTTAAAATATCTTTTAGAATATCGCAATTTTTACAACATTTTTTAGAAAAGTAATATCTTTGTAATTATTATGTTAGTTATTAAAATAATAAATAATAGGTATTATATAAATTTATATTTGTAAAAATAAATTTATGATATTCAGGGTCTCAAAATGCTCAAAAGTCTTTTGTGGGCAGATTCTATGGGACATTCTAAGGCAAAAACCTTCTGAGCAAAAATGTCCAAACTACAATAGTTTTTAAATTATAAACGATTAAATTTGGTCAATTAGTATAGCGTCTGAAAATCACATGCTCAAGGGCGGAATCGCACGAGGCCGTTGTATATATTAACTCGTTTGTTAAATATTGATATAATTGAGACAATTATGGCAAAATGTCTAACTGCCGAAATTCGGTTTCTCATTGTAAAGCATTAATAGTTTTATAATTATAGTTAATAACGCTTTGAAATAAGAAATCGAATTTAAACATTTACGCACTTTTGCAGTAAGTGCTTCAATATATTATTATACATATACAATCCAGGGCTGAGCACATTTCAAATACAAGCACAGAAAGTATTTTGTATTTCAAATACAATTTCTATATATTTTTTTGTTATATGAGATTGTTGTACAAGAAAAATTTAAGTTAATATTATTGTTAAGAAGTTTGTTCTTTTTTGGCTAAAGTTTTTCCATTTTTTTTTTTCTTTTCTCATCTCCTGCAGAGAAAATAAGGAAGAAAGATAAACAGGTGCAAAAGTTCAGTAAAAAAAAAAAAAACACACCTATAAGAATTATTAGACCTAATATTAAAGAATTTTTTTAGAATTTAATTTGAAATGAATCCATCAAATTTGAGTTTAAATAAATTCTCTTACTGCACACACATTAACTTAAGAACAGTATTTTGTAATATTTCAAATAAGAATTTTAGAAGTATTTTGTATTTTTATTAAAAAAAAAAGTATTTTGTATTTGAAATACAAAATTAGTAAATATTTTTGTATTTTGTATTTCAAATCGAAAGATTAAAAGTATTTTGTATTTTGTAATTCAAATACAAATAAGATTGTTAGTATGTTGTATTTTATATATTTCAATTACTTTTTTTATATATTTTGCTCAGCCCTACATACAATAATAAATTGTAAACGATTTCACACTTTCAAGTTTTGTATGTGATTATTTAATTTAAATTATACATATGTCAGCCTTTTATTATATATTATATGTTCAATCAGTCGTCAGTTCGATATACGTAATAATAATTAATATTTTTTTACACATCGTGACATTAACGTACAGTTTTTAGAATTGGACTTACAATTAGACATTTAATTAAAACGTTATGTTGTTTTACGAAGATTTATGTATATGTGTGGCATGCGTGAATGAGATATTTTGATATGTATGTATTATATGTGCCAATGGCTATGTTACGTAAATCGTTTGTGTGTGTTCTTACTCTAAAATCGTCTTTAGAATTAAAATTTCATTAACGAAAAATATTTTTTTACGTTATGTAAATTATAAGAAATAATATTAATTGATAGTAAGGAACTTTGTTCATACCTTACAATAGTTACGTGTAGGTATACAGGTACAGGAGAGTTTTGTACATTTATAAACGGTATTTATTTAGAACAGCTGCCTTGCCTTCGATTTTAATAAAAATAAGCTCATTCGACGCGTTTTCGCGTGAAACGAAAGAATGGCAGAAAAAAGTGTCGTTCTACCCTGCTAACCGAGATATTAAGCGTTAAATTTGACGATCGACTATTTAGGTTAGGAAATCTGTCACAGCCACGAAATACTACGATACGAGCATGCACTGTCACATATTCAATATCAATTAATTCCTAAAAATAAATCTCGACTGCTTTAATTACACAAATTCTTTGCTTTACAAATACAAATTCTTTTAAAACTTTAAAAACAAATTATCTGTTGTAAAACATTAAGTCACTGCTTCAAATATAAGATGTTAAAAGAATACTTAGTATGAAAAATATCAAAACATTGAAGAGATATATTGAGAAAATATTTAAAAAATTGAAAGATTAATTACAAATAATTGAATATAATAATTAAATTTCAATAACTTCGTGTATAGTTTTTCATTTATAATAAAATAGATTATTACCTTTCTTCTAAAATAATCACATATCCCTGTTATGGTATCCCTACTGACAACAGTGATAGTGACATATTTGCAGTTCTGTGAGTGATTGGCACGTAAGAGCAGAACATTCATAATACTGTTTCAAAGTTCAGTAGCAACTGCAGTCTTTACAAACTTTGTATTCAAAATCTTACAGACAATTTAGCCTGCTAATTGTATGTTTTTCCTATACGCATTGTTTCTTATTGGACTACAAATATAAAAGTTATTGAAAGTTTTGCATTAACGTAAATAGTTAATAAATGTATAAATATATAGACCTACGTTTTATAAATCCAGCAGGTGTGACATCCTTGCCTACACTCGAAAATGGTCAGTTCTCCAGTGACCAAATGATCAGCAAAAAGATTGTGTAAACTAGCGTTCCATCGCTTAGGTAAGTACGAAGGTTGCTTGAAAAGATTTTTTGCCGATGTCCGTCGGTTTATTGTTGTATCTAATTGCTACAGATAATGGAAAAATTTATTCAGAATTTTTAAATCTTTACTTTCATTCAAATTGTTTTAAATTTTATTGTAAATCTATATGCATCTTTTGTAAATTTATATAATTTAAGAACCTTGCAATGAACATTTATATCCTGTCGCCATTTCCAGAGCTGTTTGTCCGTTAAAGAAATCTTTTCATCAATGATTTTACTTTGTTCCGAATTCGTCTTAATCACAAAGTAGTTTGAATGTATTGATTCCAATTCTATATCCGTTTCTGTTTGTCATGAAGGAATTAACATTGTTGTTTTTTTTGCAGGCAATTCAGAGGATGATATCGCCATATTCTCTAGAGAGGCACAAAGTTCAATCTTTGCCATTGCAGTCTTAAAGGATAACTGTAAAATAATGTACAATATATATATGTATGTATATATAATTATATAATATATATATAAAGAATTAGAATTTAAGTGAAATAAATAAAAAGTAACACTAAATAAATTTTTCAAACAAAAAGAGAAAAGAAAATAGTGTAAAAATAATTTAATTTCTAAACATTCGTTATAGCTATTATGTCGTAGGGAACATTCTCGTTTGCCTTCTACTTTATTACTTTAAACTTAAAATTATAATGTAAGAATACAAGATGTTTTATTGCGTATAATGACAGTCGAATATGATTATGGAGCAAATTTTTTTATTGGTGGTAAATTTCTAATAGCGACTTTATATTGGATTCTAACATTTTGGACTAATTTTCTGATTTGTATCGACTATGCATCTTGGAAACAAAACACCTTGTATTAATTCTTATATGATTAAAATCTTAAAATATTCTAATTATATCCTAAGGACCAATCATTGTCGATTATGAACAAGTACATACTTACACGTTTTTTCTTTGTAGATATTTCCGGTTGAATTTGTTGCAGCTGTCGTTTTTGCGAAATAAGAGATAATTTATCTCTGGACTTATTTTTTCTTTTTGATATATTCACAAGCATTGGACTAAGGGTATCTTGAGATGATTGTCTATGAACTGTTTATTATAATTTTTAATTTAAATATAATATAACAATACATTTGTGTATCACGTTTAATATACCATTAATGCATTTACCTTTTGGGAATGTTATATCAGCCATCTTCTGTGAGATGTTTTTTTTCCTTGGTAATTTATTTCAAATCACTAGAAAATCGTTAATAGTAAACTGTATATCATGTTTGTATTAAAAATGACATAAATTAATTTTGAGTATGTAATTCTTCCAATTGACTGTTAAGAAAATGTTGAAGCAATTCTATGTCTCAAGACAGTCAATATCTTCAAGTACATCAAACTATAAATTTAAAAAATTATTAGGCTCGATATATTTAGGAAAAATAAAACCCTTAATCTTGTAGTGTGTTCCAATTGTGGATGATCAAAAACAGATGAAATAAAAATTTACTCTCTGATAACACTTAATGTGATAATAAGAGTGAATTTTCATTATGCTACATATTTGTAACAGATATGAACTAAATCATTCTAATTTACTGTTGCACGATTAAATTACTACTAGAACAAAATATTTAAAAAAAAAAAATAAAAATAACAATTAAAGAATATTCATTATAAACATTCAGAATTGAGGATATATAAATGGAATAACGTACCAATCCAATAATTCAATTTCCTTGGTCGTTTGAAATATATTTTGTCTCATTCACATATATATACACACACATATCGTTGTATGTTGGACATCCTAAAAATATTTGGACGTTCGATAAGGTTATTTTAAAATGTACAGGACATTTTCAGGATTCAAATTCTCCACTCGAACACATCTAAACACCTAATTACCTAAAGAATATTCAGAGTCTTCTTAGATGTTCCATGGGACGTTCTAATTATCACTTTATTCATCTGGTTGGAATCACACGGATTGAAGCGTTCGGGGTGCATTCAGATTCTCAGCTGAATCATGTTATCCTTGTTTAATATTCGATGAACAAGGGCGTGTTCAAATTCCCACCCAAGCGCTCCCCCATAGGTATCACGTTATCCTCGTTTAGCATTCATTGTACATACAAGGATAACGTATAAAATTATTCCCGGGTAGCATACGAGTGGGAATCAATCAATCAATGCATCCAAGTGAAACGGATGGTGACGTAATAATTAATACGAACTTCCTGTCAATATACATTCCAAAATGCATTAATAATATCGAAAATTCACATTTTAGATTACTTATCCTATAGATTTTTATTGTTAATAAAATAATATTTCAAAATGTGCATTATTGATGTATCAAGTTCGAAGTTTTAAATATCAAAAGATATATGAATTATATGTACACAAATTATAAGTAATAATTAATTAACGAACAACCTGTTATACTTTATATAATTGATGGACAATTATTTATTCGTGAGAAATCAATAAATTTAGTGATCCGGAATTGAATCGTAACGCAGAGGGTTATACAAAGATTATCCGAGTTATCGTTATTAAAAAAAAATTATGTTTTTTTTACATAATTATATGAGTATACCTCTGTCATTGAACAAGAATGAATTTCGATCGGAATATAATAACATCTATACTGCAATTATAAGACAGCACATAAATACTTCTTTTAAATTACGTAATTATAGTTACTTATTTGAGATGTTTATTCGTTTATTACAATGTTGACAAATTGATTTCAGTGCGAAGAACTGTGCTACTAATATTTATTAACGCGAAACACTACAAAGTTAAAATTATTTAATTACATATATAATTATCCATTTATATATAAATATATATATATACACAATAATATTTATAATTTTTTTAAATTTATAATATAATTTATGTATAAAATTAATATCACATTTTTAATACAATATTATTATAATTATTGTAATAAAATATAATGTATTTTACATTTTGATATATTAGGTTATATATTTATATAATATTTATTAATAAACACGCGCGTGCACATGTCAAGAAGAATGTGGAATCCTATATCGTTTTTTCCTTCTTTATTCTTCAGTTAATAACAAGGACAAATGATGCAAATGATGCCTTTGTGCGTAATTCGAAAAACGCGCAACCTATAAATTTAAAAAAAATTATGTGATTCAAAAATTTTCATTGGTACCAACATTATCCTCTCCACTTTTCCGGAAAATATCAAATCGAATGTCGATATATTCATCGAAAAGTCAATACTCCTTATCGACAGTCGTTAAATCGGAATCGCGCGAGCAACAATTATATGTATAGATATAAAATTTTCCAGTAAGAGTTATAATAAAGTGAAACAGCTGTAACGCAGTGAATAGCATTACACAAGGCTGTAAATAAAAGTTTGCCAATATTAATAAACCAAACTGAAATAATTCACCGTCTCCTGTTATCGGAGAGAAGATAAAGGACTCGATATTATTTATCGGTAGATCGAGAAAAAGGAATAAAAATTCAGGGAAGGAGATATAAACTATCGGCGCGAATGCACCGCGAGATCGCACTGCGTGCGCCGGAGAACTTCGGATTCGGAGCGTGTGACGTCATCGCAGCCAGCGCGCGATAAGGCGGATTCGCGCGCGTACCGTGCGCGTCGGTCGACAGATTGCTTGTGGGAGAGGAACGGTGGGGGAGGTGATCACGGCGGGAGCGTTGGTGAGCATGCGCGGTGCGCTGCCGTCGACGGTCGACTGTATCCAACATGGCCGTCGCGAGCGCGATACCGTCAAAGGTGCGCGAAAAATGACGGGTTTTCCGCGCTCCTGACGGCGCGATCGTACGTGCGCGCACGAGAGCAGTGTCGAGCGAGCGTTTCCTTACCGCGCGCGTCGTGTGAACCCGACGGCGGTGCCGCATCCACCATGGCGTTGGTCACAGTGCAGCGTTCCCCGAGCGTGTCCAGCTCCCCGCAGAGTTCGGTAAGTTGTCTCGCGCGCGCGTACGCGCCTCGCGTGGCCGCCGGCGCATCGTATATGCCGATCGGCGACGTCGGGGTGTCAGGTATATCAAGATTAGTTATTACGTTATGTACGCGAGCGACTCGACTCCACGCGCGATATACAGTTTCGCCTGCGTTCAGCTCGGCTCGGTTCGCCGGAGCTCGACTCGACCGGCTTGGCTGCTCCTCTGCCTTATTTGGCGGTACACTGACAGCCGTGCGAAAAAGGAAATCGAGAGAGAGAGAGAGAGAGAAAGAGTTCATTTTCTAACTACGACACGCGACCCTTCGGCCGTGGTTGCCGGAAAGCGCGCCGAAACAAAGGGACTCCGTAGGGTAAACAAACGTAGGTGGATGGGTAAGCAGATTGCCCGCTCGCGCTCGCTTGGAATTCTACGGCCGCTCGTCCTCGATACGCGCGGAGCGGAGGCTCCGGCTGCGCGATCACGGATCGCGCGTCCCGAGGAGATTGTGTTGTTACACTACTTTTTGCGTTTCCCCGCTTCATGCTTTCGCTTTCCGTTCACACGATCGTCATCGATAGAGAGGTTCTCGCACGCGGTTAAAGGCGGCTCCGCGTTCAATTGTCAGCGGTACCGTGTATTTATCGATGTTCGCGATGGTACTTTCTCGATATCGAACAGTTCTGAGCGAGATGAGAAAGTGGAAGAGGGTCGTTCCTTTTCTTTTGTTATGATTAAATCCTGTTGTACTGATAATAGTAGACGCGGTCTTATGATTTCTTTCTTAGAACAGTACAATGATGACGAATGTGAAATTATTTTCATCAACGTCGCAATTGATCCATCGAGTGGCGGAGTCGTTATCGCAGTTATCGGTCGTTGAATTATATTGCACAATTACAAACGTTTAACATTTTAATTGTAATATTCTAAATTAACTTGGGTACTAAAATGTTACTGTTTTTAATGTGTTAAAATACATGATTATGATAATATTATGATAATAACAATAATGTAATGAAAATAATGATGATAACATGCTTAATTATTAGTTAGCTGATATCGTAATTTTTTTATGTGCAAGACATTGATTGTTTTCCCAACGACTTCACTTTTAACTACATATTCTTCAATGAATAGCCTTTTTTTTTATTTTCTATCAGGTATAATTAAAAAACTTATTTTTTATTTTTTTAAAAATCTTACAAATATAGAATTGAATCCAAAAAGCTAGTTTTGAATTTTTAAAGAATGTCATTTCAAGGTAAAGAAATTTTTTATATAGTTGTAGAATAATTGAAATATCGGCGTTGATAAGTGCGATAAAATACTTGATATAAATTTCTCACAATGTGATGATGTTGTTAACAACATTTTATTTTATTGATCACGATATTTCTGTTTATTTTTGTAATTAAATAAATTCATGTTCAGTATTGTGTGTTTGTGCGTCACACTATTAGATATCAAATTAGCAAGGGCAATCTAATCTCTTAAGTTAAACAACAT